CCCCCTGGGGAATTTTATAAAAAAAATTTATATCTTGTCAAATCCCCCCCCCCTGCCCCCCCCCCCCCCCCCCCCGCCACGTGGTTTACATTGATAGGTGCATAACTTAAAATAAGAGGAAACCCGATACTGTTTTAACGTTCAATTGACCAACGTCTGTAAAAAGAATCAACGCAGTGACTTTTAAAATTGTTTGTTTTTTCTCTTGCAAGCAATTTTATTAACCCCAGGTGCTGGAAAAAAGGAACTGCTAACAAACTAAGTCGAGGTAGAGAGAAAGGTGATTATACAAAAACTCCTTTTTTCATGCTTCCTCAATTTGTACTTTTAAAACACATCAGTACTAAAGTTATACCAAACAATCCAAATTGTTTAATCTCGAACTGGGAATGTTTAGATAACAACTATAAGTATTGTTCTGCAACAAAAGGCTTCCTTTTAGAAATAGTTTTTGATGTACATTCGGCTAAATGGCACTGTGAAGGGAATTCTCGTCTAGGTTTGTTAAAACGTTTGGGAAAGTTGTCAAGTGAATCAGTGAAAGGAAAGCGAAAAAGACCGCTATTTTTAGCGATATTTTTACGAGACACGATGATACTCAACTTGAAAAAAGCCTAACTGTTTCATTCCCAAGTTGCAGCCCTTTTTAATAGCTTCATTTGTGGCGAAAGAAAGCGATAAATTGCTCCACTGCAGTACTCGTGTTTACTCATTTTATTGTAGTAAAATTATCGTTTGATTTTTTTTTTCTGAATTGTCATGACAGTTACCCTCCACGAGGTCATTTTTCTATCTAATCACTGGCTCGTTGGTAAAACGCAATATTCTGTAAGGTAGCTTTTCAGAGCACCGTGTATTTGAATAAATCACGGTTTCTGTGAAGTTTGACTTCGGAGCGGTACGGTCAATAAAAACAAACCTGTAAATAGAGGAGAAACTGTGAACTAAACTTTCAATGTTTGCGCAAAGTAAGTTTCTTTGTATTTATAATGTAATAAACAAATATTCAAAAATTATATACAATAAGTATTTATCAAATATACCCTTAATGTATAAATAAGTCCATTTTGTAAGAAGTTGCAGATGTAGAGAAATAAAAAAAGTAAACAGATTAAAGGTTTTACTATTCAACCAACCTAATTCAAACCAATCAGTTAAAAGTATTTAGCCAAGAGAAAATGACATGGAGTGAAACGCCCAGTCTAGCTCTTGGGATGTGTGAATTTTACCAAAGTTATTTTTAGACGAATTAAACCATTGAAATTAATCGGAAGTTGGTTTCCGAAGAGGTGTTCAATCTTTTATTCAGTCATGGTTATCAAGAATGAATAATGGGAAATTATGGTCTCTTTTGGCGAGACACCAGAACAATGTTTTGCATTATTTGCTTTGAGCAGTAGGCATCACAGGCTAGTCAGCTTCGATTTTATTGCTCACGTCAGGAGCCTTACTTCTATGGTGATTAACAATTATTGCGGTCACGCTGGAATCTGCAGTTGGTGCGCGTTAGTCAACGTTAGTGAGCGTTGTTGATTATGATTCCCCGGTGATGTGGCAACCTTGAAGGAAAAATGTTCAATACGCTCTATGTCAGGTACGGATCTTTGTATATTCTTAATCGATTCTTAAACTGTACGTGCATACACACTGTATGAATATTTGCTGATAATAATTTAGGTATTAGAAACCCAACAGAAAGAATGATTTCGCATATTGAAGCTTGTGTGTTGCTAAAGTGCGCTAAGCATGGTTGACTTTAGGAATGCATATTCGACTGGTAGATAGAATCCTAGGGTTTCAATCGAGGATAATCAAACGGTTAACGATGAATATTACTAGAGCACCGACGAAATGTTCTGAGAAATTATAGAAGGAGGCAGTAGAGATTCCTAGAAAGCCCGCGAAAATATAAGGTGAAGCCCGCCAAAATTTGAAAGATTACGTGACACACAAACTAGCTGTCTTAAATTCCTAATCATACATTTAGTTTCATGAATAAACAATGTAAAGTATAGAAAAGAAATGATTTCCAATTATTGAAGATAAGCGCTTAATTCTAAACTAGCTCTTGCATAGGTTAAGGGTTCAATGGTCCCAGCGGCACATCCCCACCCAGAAATTCCTAAAGTATCCCCCCCGGGGGTGACGATATCCATTTGTTTGTTTAATTAAGGTAAAAAAAAAAACACTGCAAAAACCGTTACGATCAATCTTGCTCAACGTCGGATCCAAAAAGATCGTGATAAGTCAAAATAGATCAAATTGAATGCGTTACAGTCAAGAAGACTTTTGCAGGGACTGATCAAACAACGCGAAATAGAGTTTAGTTGCGATATTTCGACTGGCCAATGCCAGTCTCCATCATGTTTATTGAGATATAATTACTTGCAATATCAAACACAGACTACAATGTTTGGGCAAAACAGTTTTTTGACTAGCAGAACGAGACGCTGGCGAGAGGTCAATGAACAAAACCGCCAAGGCTCAAACATGGTAGTATGTGGATGAGAGTGATTTTTATAATTAGAGAAATTAACTAACAGTAACTTGAAGAAATGGAAGATTAAACTAAACAGCAATATGTGAAATAGCGGCAGCCATGCGAGTAGCAGCCGCCCTCTTTTGTCGATCAGTCACTTCAAGATAAATAAAATAACAGTCACTACGCCAGTCGCCAGTCAAAGCTAACGTGGAGCGATCTGAAAGCCGATACACTTTACCAATCATCACCCGTGGTGATCCTTGTACCACGAATTATTACATAATAAAATTAAATAAATAAAATTACATAATATGACGTGGTATGGTGTGGCTACTTTAAAAAGACAAGATAATAAAAAAATAAAAGATATACTATATATATAGTTACAGTTCATCACGTTTATTGATGCCCAGGGGCTCAATTGTCTTAGCTTTATGGACAAGGTGGGCTTCACGTGCTTTCCTGAAAGAATCACGCCCATTTTAAGTTTTTCAATAGGAATCAAAAGCATATGATTTCCAGATGATTACTGGTTAGAAATTGTTCTGAAACCGCAGTATGGATGTAATTACCAGTAGGGTTGAGTATAGGTCGTCTGTGTTCATTAAAACGGTCTTTTAGGCGACGTTTAGTTTCTCCAATATATTGTAGATTACACAGGCGACATTGAATCAAATAGATAACATTAAAAGTTTCACAAGTGATATGAGATTTGATGTGGTGGGTCTCACCTGTATGTAGGGATTTCCTCTCCCTCTACCGGTCTACAGGCGGCACGCCCAGACTTCACGAGGTGACGATATCCATTTGTAGTTGAATGAATAAATTTTAGCGCTTATTCTAAATAAATTTCAAACCGAAAGTCCTTATATGTAAGGATTTCCTCTCCCTCTATCGGTCTACAGGTGGCACGCCCAGAATTCACGAGGTGACGATATCCATTTGTAGTTGAATGAATAAATTTAGCGCTTATTCTAAATAAATTTCAAACCGAAAGTCTTTATATGTAGGGATTTCCTCTCCCTCTATCGGTCTACAGGCTTCATGAGGTGACAATATCCATTTGTAGTTTAGTGAATAATAATAGCGTTAATTCTAAATATTTTAAACTTAGAAGTCTCCATATGTAGGGATTTTCTCTTTCTTCTGACTGTCTGATCAGGAGGCACGTCCAGACATCTTGATGAAATATATTTGAGCCAGAACTACACCACGCTGTAAAAATTGCGCTTAAAACTATGCTTTCAAGCAAGAAATATGATTCATTAGGCATAAATTCCATTTGAATCAGTTGTCTTAAATTTTTAAGCAGAGTCAAAGTAGTGAGCGAACACCCTTCCTTCCCCTGTCCACTCCAGATATCAGCTAAATCATGCGAATGACACCGATGAAGCCTATTTAAAGCCCATGAGAGAAAGATCAGGTAAGATTGGATAAGATATTTGTCCTTTGTGACTTATCCTTGAGATGATACTCCATATATGTCAGGAAGCTGAGCGGTTTCAATACGGCGGGAACTTTTGCTTCACTAGTTCTCAAGAGTCAAACGAAACAAATCATTTAATTTATAGCCCGGAAATGCAGTGAAAATAGCTGTAGTCTTGTGTTTAGGGAGTGAACAATGCAAAGTAATTTTCTCGCATTTATGACTATTTTGTACCGCAAACCAAACCAAGTTAAGCAAAATCAAAGTAAGTCAAAATAACTGTATTCGCTGCATCTTCTTTGCACACAAAAGAGAAAGTCCCACGCCGTACTTTACACTATTAGAAATCTTAAAGTTAGAGAATATCTTGAAATTAAAAATTGGCGCTCTTGCGCATAAAATTCAATATCAAAAAAAGGATACACCTCCTGCCCTCTATGACGTAGTTCAACCGGCTTCAGCTGATAATTATAATACTAGGTATCGCCACTAATCAAAACCTGTGCAGACCGTTTTCCAGAACTAATTATGGCCTAGCAAGGTTTAGTGTAGTGGCATCACAGACCTGGGAAGCAACACCTATGAAAATTAAGTGTCTCCCCTTGAACAGTTTTAAAAAAGAATATAAACTCTTTCTACTTGA